GCGGTTGCTCCTGCTGGAGCCTCCGCAGATTGGGCCCAGAGGGAGTTCTGCAACCCACTGGGTTACATATCAACAGCCATATGGTCATCTACATTTTAATTGCAGAAGCTTTATTGCCGGGGATGATGCATGTGCTGGAACAGCACCAGCTCGTCTCTCGGAGCCGGGGCTGCGGGGCCGCCTGCTAGAAAAATCATCTTTTTTCCTTTTAAATAGACTTGCCAGGGAAAGGGGTGAGAGAGGCTCCGCAGAGCCCCACACAGTTCTCGTCAAAGAGGTTCTGTAGACGCAGCGTCAGGGATAAAGGTGTGCTTGAAAATCACACTCAGGGCACGGCAGACTTCCCCTGGCTGGAGGGGATAGAGGATGCTCCCCCCAGCACGGGGATGTTTTTTGCCCAGTTTGGGGCACTGGAAAGTGAAGAAGCAATAGCTGGATCCCATCTCAACACAACGCTAACCCTATGCAGGAGCACGTTCTGCCACGCCGCCGCTGCCAGGCGCCTGCTCCCTTGCCTGGGAGCCGAACTGGAGCCGAAAGCCGCATCCGGCAGCAGCGCTGGGCAGCTCAGCGAGCCCTGGGGGCAATCCAAATCCCCAAATGGAAGCGTGAAGGTTCTTACTATAAAGCACATCAAACACTTCCTCTACCATCTTCCTGAGGAGGTACACGTCTGATCCCTGGTCCGGGGAGACCCTGAGCACGCTTCGCCCGCTCTCCTTTGCCTTCTTCTGCACCTCTGCGTCCTGCTCCTTCCTCTGCTGGACTCCTGCGGGGGGGAGAGGAGAACATGGGAGATGCTGCAGTGAGAAGAGGGTTCACGGGTGATGCCGCGCGCGCTTTCGAGCACCTGCGAAGTGATCGAACCCATCGGCCAGGTTACGCCAACTTCAGCCAGGGCTGGATGCCTCCCTGCCCACCAAACCCCAGGCAAAGTGGGGCGCTGGGCCCCTCGCCGTCCCCACAGTGTCAGCAAAGTCCCCCGGCTGGGCAGGTGGGTGCCCCGGGTCTCCCGCCCACCCCAGCCTCCTGGCTCAGATGGGGCCACTGCCCCGGGCAGCCCCCGACATGCAGGGGAAGCTGCTGGCATGGGCAGTGGTGCCAGCAGCGCAGCTGGGAGCGAGGTCCGTCATCCTGTGCGTGCCCCCCCTTCCCTGGTTTTACCCACTCAGCTGCACTGAAACTGTTGTGATTAATTGGGCAGCGCATTTCTTTTCTCTGGTTTCAATCTGCTTAGCCTTCAATCTCTCAGGAAAAGAAAATCCGCCTTTCTTGGAGGCTTTTTTACCCTTCAGCATCACGTAGCTCGGTAATACCAGCTATTTCCTGCTAATTTCCCCCATTAAACCTCAAATAAAGCATATCTTCAGCAATGACTTCCTTGCATCTCTATATGCACAAAAAATTAAACACTACAAGTGCCTTATTGCCGTTCTATCCAAAGTGATTCACAAGGGATTTTCAGTGGCGAAGGACTAATTCCTTCATCATTCTCGACAGGCTCCTGCCGGTGATCAGCCCTGGATGCTGCCTGGGTGCTCAAGGAGGAGCTCATAGATCCCTCCTGTGGAAATAGCCTGTGGCTGGGACATCACTGGGATGGAGGTGAGAGCCACCCAGAGCACCCACAGAACTAGACATAAGAAAGGGGACAGCCACCCAACAGCATGCAACCCCTGGCAAGCTCCGCATGCCTCCCATGGCGCAGAAAAACAGGCCCTGGAAAACTTTTTTGGGTTTTTCTACCAAGGTGAAAATCCACACCCTCCTATGACTGACTCTCCCTCTTAGCTGGGCTCTAACTCTCTTCCATTGACATTAATCCTGATCACTGTCAAGTCCCACCACGTGCCAGGAAAGGCTGAGCCAGAGGTTCAGATAAAAGAGGGCGTTCAAGCGAGGTCTGCGTGCCCAAGAGATAAGAGGCTTCTTACATCTCCCAGAGATGTCTGCTTTAGATTATTTCAGATCCTTTCTAAGGGGGCAGCTAGACCATAAATCAGAGGCACTTCCAGGGATGCTTTCGACTGCGTGCCAGTTTTAAGAGCTTTATGGAGCGGAGTTGAGCCTGGGCCATTTATAATTCAAGACAGAGTTATCACGTTTCACTCTGTCTCCAGCATCAGCCGCTTTGCCTGAACCCCATCGTCAAGATTTTGTGCTTTCAACCAGACGTGACCATTCCATTTTGACAAAGGTATAAATGAAACCAAAGGAGAGGGGAGTCAGGATCTAATGTTGGGAGCCTTGCCCCAGCCACAGCAGTAGGTCACCAGCCAGGAGATATATATATATAAAAAACCCACTATATCTCTTTCTAAAACTGAGATTTGCAGTTTGTCATCAATATTATGAGCTCTAGGGAGACACAGCTGGCATTCAATACACGAGGGAGATCCTTCCCACTGGCCACCCCACTGCCGTTCACTGCTCGGGTACCTCCCTGCCTCTCGTGGGTGGTGGGAAGGGGAGGCAGTCGCCCATGAAAGCAGGAAACGTCCCCAAAACACCTCCTGTCCCGCAAAACGCAACGCACCAATGCGGAGGATAACTAACGGCGGCTCTCCCGGGTGCGAGTGGCGCGGTGGAGGTGGCAGGCAGCTCCCCACAGCGGGCAGGACGGAGGAGCAGAGCGGAGCCTTGGCAGGGAGCTGCTCCTGCCAAGCCGTGCCGGCTCACCCCGCACACACGCAGTGAATAACCCGAGCAGACAGCGACCCTGGCAGCTTTACAGCGCTAATGTTTTCACTAGAGTGAGCCCTTCCCGAGCAATCTCTCCAATGGATTAAGCGCCAATATGGTTTCCATCGACACCACGCGTGTGCACACACACTCGGGTCACTTCTTTCCACTGACGGCCCTCTGTGGGAAGCGTGTGTGAGCAGATCTGCGTCTGGGGTCCCCTCAGGTTTGGGGTCCCCAGCACCACCGAAGTCAGACCCCATCCCAGCTCCTGCACAGAGTGGGGAAAGCGGTGGTTGGCACTCCAGGGATGATGCTGTCCAAGAAATGCAGGTCCCCATTCACAGCATGGCCCCCACCTTCCCCTTAGCTGCCAGGCTGTTTCCAGGGAGCTGGCAGAGGCACGGAGCTGGGACAGAGGGCTGGGTGCCAGCCTCACCACTCGCAGCGCTGCCACCGGTCACACACGTCCCTGCGATACCTGGTGACTCTGATCATCTGAGACTGGGGGCACCACAGCTCCTGCTCAAAGCATCCTTTCACCACTGTTAGCCACTCAAAAAAATAAGCAACTCCACCACCAACACTCCCAGCTCCCAAATCCATCCCTGTTTTTCTAAAACCAGGAAAAAAGCCTTAGCCCGAGAAAGCCTCTGCTCCTGGGGGATCACTAGGACAAACTATTTCTGCTAAGTCCTCAAAAGCCGCTCCAGCGCACCGGCAGTGCTGCCGCACACCAACAGCACCAGGGCACGCAGAGCAGCCATCCAGCCCGGTGCCGCCCCAGGGATGCCTTTGGTGAGGGGACCTGGGGCTTGTGGTGCCCTCCCTGGGAGGGGGAGAGGCTCCAACCATGGTTCCCACCTGCTTTCTCCATCACTTTAAACACCGCTCAGCCCCACGGACAGACAGCGCCACGGTGCCCCCCGAAACACAACCCTTCCGTGCACAGTGGAGGTTCCAGCTGGCACAACCGGAGCATCAACCTTGGCACAGGAGAAGACCACGCTGGCGGGGATACTTACTGCAAAACTTCTGGAAGTCGGCTTGCAGCTCCTTGCGGGCGCTGAGGAAGACCCGTCCCTTCTCGGTGCCCACCACGAAGGCGCTCTCCTCGTGGACGGCGATGCAGGCCACCTCCGCGTTCAGCTTGGAGAGCGCCGAGCACTGCGGGGAGGCACCGGGTCAGAGTGGCTGCGGGAGCATCCCCACTTGGCACCCCCTGCCATCTTCCAGTGGGATTTTCGTCTTCCCATCAAAAGATTCCCCCATCAAAAGCAATGTTCTGGTTTGGATCAGAATTTCACGGGTTTTATGACATCCTTTAAACACTTTGGTGACTTTACAGCTCCAGAAAGTTATCTGGCTGAGCTACGCTTTGCTGGAAAACAAGAACTGTTTACCCATTTCCTATCCTAAAAGTAAACATTTTATAGTATTTCTTTATAATAAAACATTCCTGTAAAAAAAGAAAACCAACAACATTTTGTATTTTTCCACCAGCTCTAATGAAATAAGGAGCACGGGAATCTTATTTCAGCTGCAGAACACTAATATGGTCAAAGTCTGGATTAGTCAAACGATTCTTCTTGTACAGTTATGCAAAACATTAAAGAGATGGAAAAGACTTCCTCCATTAATCCATTTTATGTAATGTGCGCTTCCTGCTCTACATAACACACATGTATATGCTTTTTTATTATTATTTTTTATATTATAATAGTTACGCAGTGCCGGCAGCCTGAGTCATATTCCCATGCCCCGACGCTAGGAAGACGCTATCCCCAGGTCACGATTTAAATGGGCAAAACAGGGGGGATTTTCCCATCAGCAGCCCCAGTTAGACACATCACCTGCCCACGGCACCGTGGAGGCCCACGGGCAGGGAGCAGGACAGCAGCTGCCCACGGACCCACCCCCGCCGAGCTACCTTCAGCTCCCTGAACGCATTTACAAAGAGCTTGATTTGTGTGGGCTTAACCACTCTGTATATTGGGTCATGTTACCTCCTGCTCACCTTCTTCAGACGTATTGAATCACATCCCCCAAAATACATATTTTCAAGAACACTCCCTTCAAAAAACCAATAGCAAAGGGAAGTATTTTGTTCAAAAAGTCCAACACTTGAAAAATAAATACAAAATCTAGGGGATGTGAGATTTGGAGGCAGACCAAATCGAAACCCTAAGCCTGCTTGGCGACATGCACATGGCCCCGTGGTTTATTTATCATGCACGCAAGCAGCCAGGCTTCAGTGGGTGCGGAGCTCGGCCCTGGTGAGACACTGGGATGAAGGTGAATTTCAGGAGCAGCCTGGCCCTCTGGCCCTGGTGTAAGCACCTACCAAGGACTGCGGAATAATGTATATTCATTAGGAAGCCAAACTACGATAACATGATTTGCTGTATGGGATGGCACGTATATAAATCATCAAAGCTGCTTGGGGTGCGCCAGCTCTGAAGAACCTGCTCCTTAGTGGGGCAGTGATGGTCAAAGAGAAGGAAATTAGTATCAGTGAAAAAAACCCTACCTGCGTAGAGAAGACGACGCATCCAAGATAAATACATTAAATATTACTTGGCTTTAAAAAGGGAGGGCTATTTAGCACATTGCACTGCATTAGACATTTGTTACTGCACACACGCTTTCCCTTCTTGATCACATTCACAGTTAAAAATAAGATTAGCTCTGGTCCACGAGACTTAATCCAGACAGTTATCTTGTTTATGTAAGCATGGCTGACTTAGGCAAGGTTTCCACCGGGAATTCTACGTCAAAAGATATGAAAGTTATTTTCTTTGTTCTCGGAGATAAAAGCCATTGTTCTCCTGTTGTGTAAAAGCTCACGGTAACATCGGTAAAACATCAAGGAAAAAAATCCAACCAACCACCCTACATTGAGTTGATACCAACATAAATATTAATGGGAAAACAATACACATCTGAGATTAACTTGGGCTGACTTTACGATCCTTACGGCTGTCAGGGCGGAAGAGGATTTTTATTTCCCAGCTCCGGCAGCTCCCTGGGCTTTCCAGCAGCAGAGGGGAGCAGGACGAGCTCGACAGCCCTCCTGCTTCAGCCCTGCTCCCAGCTAGCCCTGTTAAAGTGAGCTGACAGGAGGGAGGGGGACGGGGACGCCACTGGCCTCTTACCATAGAGTCTAAGGCAGACACTAAGCTGGTGATGATTTCGTCTTTCTGGGGAAAAACCATATTCCACTGGTCAGCTCTGGAGGTGCTGAGAGTCACGTCTAAAGGCTTCCCTGCCAGGGCCATATTCACCTGAAAACAGAAAAAAAAAATTAGATAAGCTGTTATTAACAGAGAGCCGGTGCTGAGCATCGCCAGCGCAGCCCCACCACCAGCGTGTGCCACGGGCTGTGGCGCAACGCTGGCATGGATACACAGGGGAAACTGAGGCACAGAGAGAGGCCGGGGCCAGCCTAAGCCCCACGTTCCCCACGTCTCCTCTGCTAAAGGCAGATAATTGCGGACGCTGCCGGGCCCTAATCAAACCCTGGAGCCAACGCTGCCTGTCCCAGCAGCGGCCAGGTCACCTCCACCCTCGGGACTCACCCCCGGGGAGATGCCACCACCGCGCAGGGCGCAGCAGACCCACTGCCGGGTGGGACACCCCGGAGGAGCAGGCTGCGGCCACGCCGAGCTGAAGGATGCGGCGCTGAAGCGGACATGGAGCATTCCCATGCCCGAGCTCTGCGCATGCACCCCTGCGAGGACACCGTGCTGGCCACCCCCACGCCTCCCTCCCTCTGCCCTGGGCAAGGGGAGAGCCTGGCACCCAAAGGTGTCCCTGAAATGGGCCAAAGCCACAGGGTGCTCTGCCTTCACCCCGAGAGAGAGGCAGGTCATGGTGAGGGGCTCCATCATCAAACCATACCACCCCACAGCTCTTGGGGGACCATGCTGTTGGGGGCAGGACTGGGCGGCACGCAGGGACCCCACATCCGAGAAGGGGCTCAGCCCCGGGAGCTCTAACCCTCACTGCAAAATGGGGAAAAAAAAGGGGGAAAAATGCTGGTGCCCGGCCACACGTGCAGCAACTGCACCAGTTCTCTGTGCCCCTGGTGCACACGTCTGACCATGACCCATGGGGATGCCGATGCTGCAGGGGAAACTGAGGCAGGGGCTCGCCCTGCATAAATCAGCCCACTCCCATGCTGGGGCACCCACACCCGATACAGCAACACCCCTCAGCACCCAACACGGTCCCTCCCAGCTACTGCCCCTCCATCCGCAGGGCAGCGTCCTGCCCCCAGCTTTAAGCCTGCGAATAAAGGGTGGCAAATTAACTGGCAACCACTCAAACTGGATCGTAAATCATGTGCTCGAAGCCCCAAGCGGATAAAAAAGGCTGGAGAATTTCTAACGAGGCGAGACGGGCAGGAGCCGGGGAATATGAATGAAGCTGCCTGTGCGTAACTCGATTTGCGGCTCAGCCGATAACTGCGGCCGCTCAGCCCTGCTGAAAACTAGGGTTAAAAGTCAACAGCAAAAACCCAAATTCACCTTCCTGCCCCAGTTCGCTTCAGCGTCCAAGCAGAAGGAATTTGCACATAAAGCAGGGCCGTGCTGCCCCATGCAACTGGGGAAATGGTGGCTTTTGGCCCAAAATAACAAGACTCTCCGTGCCGGCACCTCTGCAGGTGCCTCAGCAGGCACAGGGCAGGGAGCTGGTGAACATGCTCCCCGCCCTGCAAAACTTCACTGTTATGTGGGCATGCAACAACGAGGGTGGAGACAATTCCCCATTAATCAATAATGACTGAATCTCAGAAATTGCTCTTGATGAGACCTCCAGGCTGGCTTCCCCTGCGTCGCTGGCCCGTGTAGAGGCCTCGCCAGCACTTTTGGGCAGCAGAGCCATAGCCGCAGCCGTGCCAGCACTGCTGCTGCGTCCTGCCGATAGCCATCCAGCTGACACTCCTGAACGAAGCTGATGGATGACTCTTCTCTCCCAGGATGATCTTGGGGTGAAAAAAAACCCCAAAACTAAGCAGCAGCTTGGAAAATAAAGCAGGAAACCGAACACATGGTCCTGCAGCCTGGGTGCTACCGCGCTCTGGCACAGCCCCCTGGATGTCCCCACGTTGAGGACAGGGCTCTGCCAGGCACTTCCAGCTTCACCATCATGAAGGGTTGCAGCAACGCCAGGAAATGGTGCGCCTTGCTCCAGCCCTGCAGTTTCTGCATGCACGGACGGACGAGGGACCATTTCACGAGCAAGCTCTCGAGCTGCTCCCTGCGCGCAGCCCTGCGGGTGCAGGGAACCCAAGATTCTTTCTTTTAATCGACGCCGTGTTAATAAGAGGTGCCTTGCGCAGCTGGTAGGGAGCAGCAAGGCGACGGCGGTGCCGATGCCGGCCCTGAGCCGCTCTCCCAGCCCACGCGACACCGGGCAGCCACAACGCTGGGCTGGGGACCAGCCATCACCTGGGGGCTGCCGTCGGGAAAGGACTTGGTCCAGGGAGCATCACTCCCCCCACAAGCACTCACTTGGAAAACAGCTTTATTTTGATGCCCTTATGTATTTCTGAGTGCCCTAATTATTATTCAATATGACTGCTACAACAGGCATGTTCTTGTTGCCACCCAGCAGCATTTTGGAGACCCAGTGCCTGCCTTGGTGGGGCTGGTTGTGACCCCTCAGAGAGCTCAAGCTGCACCAACCTGCTCAGCCATGGCCTCCCACGGAAAGCAGCACTTACGGGGAAGAGATGCTCCACCCTTGGCTGCAAAAAGCAAAGCCACGAGCTGGATCTGGCCCCAGAGAGGGCACCGAAGGGAAAGCTGGGGATAAGGTCAGTGGGAAGTGGGGCAGAGTCCCTGCACGCCCTCCCTACCTGCTCCCTGCTCTGCAGGAGACTGGCACAATAATAATCTTTCACCTGTCTGAATAAGGAAAAGAGAGAACAACCCAACAGGGGGAAAAAAAATCATTATAAAAATTTGACCCAAGTAATACAACAGGACTTTAAGGGATGGGGGGACAATATTCCTGTAAATCATTTACAGTCCTGAAGCGCAGTGACAGTGGATTTAGACAAGAGTGGAATAAAAGGGAGGAAAAAAACCTTCACAACAAGTGCTAGGCTTATTCAAATCAAATTAAGACGTATGGCTTGCAGTTGTTTGTCTAATCAAAGGGAAAGTAGTCTTCAGGAAAACTGGGGTAAACCATTCTTATAGCAGTTAGGGCCGTCGGCAGGGAGCGAGGTGAGTAGGATGGCTGCAGAGCATCCTACCCCCCTTCCCAGGGCTCCACACACCCGTCCTGCTGGAATCCCACTCCAGGGCACTCACCAAGGGGTTGAATTCCCCCTCCCAGCCCAGCCCAGCTCAGCTCTGGCCGCAGCCCCATCCCACCTCTGCACGCCAAGTCCTGTACCCAGCGGTGCAGGGTGACTCAGGGACCGTCACGCCACTGTCATGGGGCCAAAGCAAACGTTTGCAGATTTGATTTATTTTTTTAATATTAAAAAACCCCTAAATTTTATTTTCTTATTTATTTTTTTTATTATTTAATTATTTCTTCCCCCTGAATGAGCGAGGATGGGACGAGCAGCACAGGGACAGGGGCACTGCGCCACAGCTGGCGCGGGACAAGGGCAGGCAGCCTGCACGGGCCATCGCCTGCTCAGCTCTTACAACACCGCCTTCCTCGCCTCCCTTTATAATCCTGGGAAAGATTATAAATTTGGCCCCAGGGGAGTTTCGCTCATGAATCACCTGGGCTGCAGCAAAGGAAAAACCAGGCGCGCAGGGAGGCTGCAGAAGCGGCCGCGGTTCCCCCAACCCTGCGCCTGCGGCCGGGGGGCCCCTCCCCCCCTTTTTTTGCGGCGGTACAGCATCTCTCCCCAAAATAAACATCCTCCAGTCTTGCGCACTGCGTCACCATTTCCAAAGTGTTCGGCGCAAACAAAACAGTAAAAAAAAAACACAAAAAAAACCAAGCCAACAACCACCCCCCCCCAAGGAAATTTCCAAGCAGAAAACTGTGTTATTATATCCCTTAAATTATAAACAGGTTCAATTAGGAGAAACCAAGGGGAGTTTACGCGAGCCAGCAGCTCGCACGACACAGCCCCTGCATCGCCTGCCGGGCTGGGGCTCAGTTCAGGGCAAAGACGGGTGCTGCAAGCTCTCGTGTTGACTTCTGTCCGCCGCCTTCTTGCTCATCTTTTCAAGCCTTACAGCAATTTCCAGCCCCGTGCCACAACCAGAAGCAACAGTATCTTATTTTTTAAGCCGTTAGTGTTTCCACACTGCCATGATGGAGCTTGAAGAAGGACCTCCACCGCCATCCTCCCCACCGCTTTCACCTTGCCGTGTTCGAAAGCCTTATTCACCATAAACCCCAAAATCTAGTTTCCCAAAGAGAGCCACACACTCGCCTGGGACTCACAAAACTGGGCTGAACTTGTTGTCAGCTCTCCCCATGCCCACCACTCCTTTGCCATCAGAATAAAAAAAAGGCAATAAACCTTTTTTGGGAATTATCCAAGGCCAAACCCAGCGCAGAGCGGGAGACACCATGAGATGGGAACAGCCAAATGCGCAGGAGAGACCAGGAACATCCTGCATCTGCTGCTTCTTATATTGCTTTCTACCAATACTGGTTTTAAACTGAATTGAATGGTTTACTATTTTTTTTCCTGCAGCTACCTTAAAAACGTAACCCTGGCAGTTTTCCCACATGAAACATCTCCTTTAATGAGGAAACCAGTCCACTCAAAACCATTGGAGGACAAAGCATCTGACAGCGGGAGCCCCAGCCCAAACCCAGGTGGGTGCAATGGCCACATCTTCCAGCTCAGCCCTTACACCACCAACTGCATCCAAGGGTGACAAGCCGGAGGACACCGGCTCAGCTGCAGCACCAAGAAAATGCCACCAGCATGGAGCAAGGGAGAAGTGAAAAGCAGGGAGGCAGCACGGATGGCCCCAAACAGATGCTACCAGTGCTCCCCCCTGGCCTGCAGACACTGCAGCATCACCACGGAAATCCCCCCGTGCGCCCGCCTGGGATGTTTATAAAGCCTCCAACCGCATGGGCTGGCTCCCAGTCCAGGGAGCCAAACAGGAATTTAATTTAACGAAAGCTTTGACCGTTCAGCACATTGGAGGGAGAAAAAGAAAAAAAAGAAGGAAAAAACCCGACCATCATGCCAGTCCTGCCTTCAGCTCCACGCAAGGGTAGATGAAAATTATCCACTTATTCATATTTCCACTGCCTGTAGCTTCGGCAGTGCCGGCGA